ATGATAAGAAATTTTTCATTTGAAATTTTTTCAAAATGAAAAAAAAAGTAAAATTCGAAATTCTAACATCATAATCAATTTTATTTTGTCTTTAAACAGAAGCATAAGCATTATATCAAATGATCATTAGAAAATTCATATTGGTTTTATATAAATTTAATCATAATTATATAGTCCGTTGATGTATTATACTGGTTGAAAACTATATATTCATTACATTGAACAATACTTCTTCCATAAAATTATACTTCATCATGTGATAACCCATCCAAAAAAATAAATCTAACTGATGGTAATATTTTATAATAACACGACTAACATAAATACGTAATATTAGCTAGTCAAGATTTTTCTATTATTTCCAATTGTCAATAATGAGAGAAATCGAACTATGAAATAGTTAAAAATAATGATAGTAAACGTTTAAATATAATCAATAAACTAGAATATGGAATTTTTACGTATGTACTAAAATGAAAAAATAGTTCAATGGTAACAATGAAAATTTTGAAATTGTTTGGTTAGTAGTTCGATTCTACTCTTTATCTATTAGAAAATATAATTGAGTCGATGATTATATCTACCTTGATTTCTCGACTATTACTGAGAGGATCTTTTGTATTAGCTCAGTATGAGACTCAATTTATTGAGTTTTTTTCTTCAGAAAAAATAATAAGAATATTTTTTAAGAATAGAAGAATGAATATCATTGAGTAGTACATTTAAACTCTTCATATTCTGCTAAGATTCAAATGGAGAAATGTTAAATTGTTCACTGCGTAATAAATAAAAGATGAAATAATATATAAAGATATGAAATTGATGTTATTTCTGCGAAGAGTACATTGTGTCTCAATTAACTATTATTTACTGAATAAATATAAAAGAAAGAACAAATATACATTATAACATCTTTCAATAGAAAATTTGACTGAAGGTTTTTTTTTATATAGCAACTTGATTAAAAATGTAATTGACACGTACTAGTTTTGAGTTATGATCTTTTAGATATTGGATAGCAGTATGTCTTGAAATGAATACAAACCTATATGTACTTGAAAATAGTTGCGTATTCAAATCAAATATCGGAAAATCATATGGATTATATTTTGCTATATCAATTGAAAACAATAACAACATTATCGGAATAATTTCTTGTAGCACAAACTTTCAAGTTTCGACCATCAGCTGTCTATTGGTATCACTCACTGAATAAAATTTGGTTGTGCATTCGTCTTATGTGGATGATACTATGTCTGCATTATACCAATAGTTGAGTATATTCAACTCAAGTTATTGTGACATATTATATAAACTTTTAAAAATACTTTTTGTTTTATTAAACTTAAACTGTAGCAAAAAAGTTTGTGTTGTATGTACTTGTAATAAACATCAATAATAAAAGCTTACAAAACTAAATTATACCTGACTTTTTTGAAATTTAACTCGTTAAAATACATAAAAGCGAATCTTTAAAAATAATTTATGAAAAGGATTCTTAATAAACATAATTTTTATTCGATATTTATATCGTAAAATTAGACATGTAAGTAAATAAATCGAGAATTTGTTATGATCATTTAATACACTGTTTATTTAAATATTCTAGATTTTAATCATAGAATTATTTACAATTCATTCTTATCGTTTGAATAATGATAATAGTAATTTGTATGATATAACATACAATAGAAGAGTGAGAATGAATATGTAAGTAAAACATGTTTGCATAGGCTAACATATGCAAAAATTTTCGAAATTTGATGTAGAACATGACATGGTGATTATACTAGTCGATAAACACATCGATGTCGATTAAGTTTCTTTTTTTTCACAGGAAAGAAAAGAGATGAAGCATAAGGTATACTTGATAGAACGATTGATTGCATTTCTTTTTCTTTGTTTCATCCCACCTTTCTCCATCTGTTCTTTTTCATATTTATTTCTTTTTGACTACTGAAAACTAATTCAAAAATATTCATTCATTATCATAAGTGTCAATCACGGGTAGATTAATGAGTGTATACGTCAGTTCTTTTTCAAGATATACTTGATTGGTAAATTTATATTGATGTTAATTATGTTATTTTACTTTTAACGACAAAAAAACGGTCTTACTATTTTGTTTATTTATTATCTCTTAGATGATCCATGATCAGGTGGATTATACGTCCCTATCAACGGCGATTTCGTTCTCGACGATCTATTATCTTTCCAATAGTGATATTTATGTTAACAACTATTCTTCTCTATACACGTGTTGAATATTATACATTGACAACAAATTATATAAATTCATCATCATTATCTTCAAAAATAACATATGATACACAAGTAATATAACTATTTATTATTAAGTACTAATCGATATAATAGAAACGACAGGATCCTTTAAAATTATTTCGCATTTTTCTAATAGCAGCTGATTAGACGCGAAAAATCTTACAGATAATAATTAATCTTCTATTCGGGACGTATAAAATATTAGTCTTGATAAACAGTACCCGTAACAATTATAACGAATATTATCTATACGAAACTCAACAATCATTTTTTAGTTTGCCTAGACGATTTAGCCAGAAATCGATTCTAATACTTGTCCCATTACTTTTGTATTATATATTATAACAAATAATTTGATTCGATTTTGTTTAGTCTACTTCTATCAATTTCATCTGTGAATTAAAAAATGATACAATACGTGCAATTAATCAAGCACCTAGCGATTATTGCAAAGAAAAGATAAAAAATATTTCTTGCCAAATTGATTCTACACCAAATTTTTTTCCAACATCATTACCACGTTTTTGTCCCATTCGAAGTAAAATTAAATAAATTTTCGTTATTTATTTACAATTGATCTTTCATTCTTTTATAGAAGGTAATTTTGGTGATATAATTGGTTGTATTTCAAATGATGATAATTCAACATATGGCACAAACAAATTACAAGTGTTTAATACTGATATTATGTGTATAGATCACTGTTTGAAACTTAGTGTTTCATTTGCTGGTAATGTCTAAATAGTTTTTTTCATAACAGAAATGAGATATAATCAAGGGGGTAAGAGCTGGCACCCAGCACCTCAGCACCTGTTCGGCGTTTTTCGGTGCTCGTTTTCAGCTCTTACTTCCTTGGCAGAGGTGCTGAGCAGGTGCTAAGGTGGTGGGTGCCAGCTATTAATCCCCTGGATATAATCCTAAGTATTTTTTTTTTCGATTGCACTATCACGTTAACAAACGATGCGGATCAATAAAAATTCAGACATATATGAAGTCCTTGTCAATTACAAGTGATCAGAGAAAAACTGGTTCTAACCAATATTAGACATGACCCAAACCCAAACTCAAACTCCCAAACGGTTTGAATTTGAGCTTGGGTTTGGGTCATGTCTAACCAAAATACTACTCAAAACTCTTCTTTTGTATTATTGCTGTTCGTTTTTTATACTCGAATACTGAGATAATTTTAACAATAACATTTTATCGTATATTTCAGTACATACATATCTAAGATACTATTTCCTAACCTCTTGTGTTTTTATAGAGTATAATGAATTTACCAATCAATGTTCTTGTTTATCAACATTTGATAATCAACG